TTCATAAGTTAACTGCCTTGCTTTCCTATATACCTTTCCTGTTATTATTATTATACTGCGTACAGGTTATTGTAAGTGACCCGCCTTAGCCTCGTCACTACTTCGTCGAGGTTAGGCTCGACAATATAAAGTACATGGGTCGGTTGTACTCATACTACACTCTGCACTTCTTGTGCAGATTTTGGAGTTGGTCCCAACAATGGTCAATAGATTGCTCGGATTGACCATCGGACGGAGACTTAAGGTACAGTTGCTCGGCGTTCGCAACCCTGAAGTCCCCTTCTACCCTATCCTAGTTGTTTATTTTTGCTTTCAGACAGTTTTACTTTCATTCAGACCATTATCTGTATTATTCTAGTCGCTCGTGCGCTTGTGACTCCAGATCTGGGGTTGTATTTAGATATTGCGGTTGTAATGACTTTTCGCACTGTATTTCAGTCCTATTTCAATTTAATTGGTATCAGTTAATTTGATTTATTGAAAATGGCTAAAAACTATTCTAATGTTGGCTTGCCTAGCAAGCGAAATGTTATGCGTCATCACAATTTCGAGAGTGAAAATTGCGGATCGTGACATTCATTTACTTAACGTTTGGGAGAAGGGTTTATTTCTGGGGGAAAATATTCAGATAGATTAGAAGCTGACCAATTAATCCCGCCTAAACCAAGTTAAGGGCATTGAAGTTTTTTTTATGTGTTTTTACGCTATTTGGACAAGGCCGTTTGGACAAATATCATTTTCGATTTTAATATTACCATGTTGACTTTCTTTTTCAATTATAACAAGACAACATTTATTTGATCAATAAAAGATTTCTCAGCAACAACAAATAAAAAAGTTGACGACACTGTCGTGCTCTTTGTTTATAAAAGGATTTATATCAATTTAGGTAATTTGATCGGGTTGAAAATATTTATGTTATTATAAATCATCTCACTAAAAATAAAATAAAATATTTAAAGTTAAGTAATTTTCAATATAAAAATATCTTATTCTTTCTTGGACATACTAAAAAGAAGAACGGGTCACATAAAAAAAAAGGCAACGAATGAAATAAATTAAGTTATTTCTTGTAAAATATTTACTCAAAATGATTAATTTTTACACTTTACTTAGTCACTTAGCAATATTTTTCTAGAAGCTACAACTACAAGGCAAACATTTTCACTCTCAGATCCCTAAAAGACCAATTATTTTTTTTAATTTTTGCTTTTAAATTGATAGTACTAATATAGTGTCTCTTGTTGCCTCTTTGAGCCGAGTGTCTTCTGGAAACAGCCTCTCTGCCCCTCGGGTAGAGGTAAGGTCTGCGTACATATTACCCTCCCCAGACCCCACTTGTGGAATTACACTGGGTTGTTGTTGTTGTTGTAATTTTTGCTTTTAAATTGATAGTACTAATATAGTGTCTCTTGTTGCCTCTTTGAGCCGAGTGTCTTCTGGAAACAGCCTCTCTGCCCCTCGGGTAGAGGTAAGGTCTGCGTACATATTACCCTCCCCAGACCCCACTTGTGGAATTACACTGGGTTGTTGTTGTTGTTGTTGTAATTTTTGCTTTTAAATTCTTGAAGACGTAATAAAAGTATTTTGTTTGATTTTTTAATTTATTTTCAGTGCTATGTCATATAAAAATAGAATAACTTTCCTAAACTATTCTACCATAAGTTCTCGGAAAACACAATAAGGCATCCAAGGACTTTATGGGACAAGATTTCTTCCTTTAATAAACTAGTTAAATGGAATCAATATTCAAAAAAAAATAGGAACTTATACTTTTTTCTTTAATTTTTACTTTATATTTCAAAAATATTATTTGATAATATTTTGTGTAATTTTCTAAAATTATTTACTTATTGATAGGGGGTTGCGCCTAAGTGTGTGTATGTATGTAATCTATATGTACATATAAAGTTCTTTTGACAGGATAAACTTAATAATAAGAATATATCAAAACGAATTAAATTAACACAGAAAAGCGAGATTAACGGAATTTTATACACTTGATTGAATGACCTTGATGTTGGACTAAACTATCCAAACACACTTTTAACATTGTGTAATATTGTCGGTTTTGAGCTAAGCTCGTATGGTTTTCATCAAAAGGCTCCGCACCATTAAGAGTATCCAACTCTCTATAAGTAAATTATTTTGCTTTCTACTTTTCATATGGGGCTTTGTTCACACACACCCAACAATCTCCCCATCGAACTAAGTTTCACATGACTATCACCTTTATGGGCTAATTTGGAGATTAGTTGTATGCCACCCACGTGATCTTGAGTATTGACGATCAATGTGAAAGCCCAAAAATTGTGTATGCATCTTCAAAGCTACGGGTAAAAGTCGTAAACCCCATAGACGGGCAAAAGCATTGAGCCGGCTCCCCACGCTACACCTTGTCATCTCAATAGTTCCGCCAACCATTGGTTCTGATACCAGTGTTAGGCTAAAGCGGCCTAAAGATACTTTTAATATGGTATGATATTGTTCACTTTTGGTCAAACTCGCACAATTTTTCCCAAAATGCCTCACACCATTAAGAATATTCAACTTCTTATATTTTCCCTTCTACTTTCCAGGCGGGATGTTGTTCACACACGGCCAACATTTAACGAAATCAATCAAATTATCTATCTTTTTATCATGTTATTGCAGTCATATGAAGTCCTAAACCAACACCCAACAATGAGATCGTTATCGAAAATAGAGAATTACTCATTGAACATCTCATATATAAACGAAATTTAATGCATGTTCTATAAACGAAATTAATAGTAAAATTGAACGAAACAAGTATCAATTAAATAAGAAATGCTGAATGACTTCAATTAATGTGCTATCAGATCTTATCTTATTCACATGTATATGCTTAATGTATAGTTCGATAAAAATCTCATCGAGATATGCCATTAAGAAAGAAATCGCTTGTATTAATATACACAATTTGACTTTTTAAAACTCAGAAATTATTAATTCTGAATTCAAATCATCGAATTTTCAAATAAATCGAAAAGTTTATAGTCTAAATTTCTAATCTATAAATTTCCATAGTTTTTACCTGACATACTAATTGATTATTAAGCTTAAAACTATTGATGGGAAAGGAACTAACCAAATCGTGTCACACAATATAGGATGAGAAAAATAGTTAATGGTCAATAGCGTTATTAATAGGGGTATTATAGCTTTTAGCCCGCGCCAAAAACTTTTTATATCTGTTAGCTAAAAAAGTATATAAAATTTATATAATGTTTGTATATAAGATACAGAATGTATATATATACAGAAATATATAAATTTTATATATTTTTTTGCTACTATTTTACAGCGGCTATACAGTGTCATTTTCCTTATTTATACCTCAATTTTAATTTATGTTATGAAAGAACATGACATAGTTCAATCCGGGAAAAGAAGAAATGGTGAACGTGTATTACCAAAAATAGGGGTGTACAAAGGAAACCGACAAATCGCACCAAACCGATAATCCGAGTCAAACCGGAAAAAAAATCCGATTATGGTTTGGTTTGATTTGATTTGGTGTTAGAAAAAAAATTCGATCATAATTGGTTTGGTTTGGTTTTAACTAAAAAAGTCAAACCGAAACCAAACCAACCCGACATTACATGCATACAAGTTTTAAAAATATTTTATACATAAAAATAATTATTGTAAAGTAATTTATAAATATAATTTAAACTCTTTAATAGTTCTCTTTTTTAATGTATTATTTCGAACTTGGACTTAGAACTTTTGAATGACCAAATATGTTTTATAGGCTATAAAAGTTAGTAACTCAAATAAAGTCTAAAGCAAAATCAAATCAATACTAATGCTAACAAAAAAAATTCAATTCAATACTAGAAATGATAATAGTATTGGATATTTATTTATTTATTTTTGTTTTGCATTATATTGATTTAGGTAGTGAAAATGCATAACTCACTTTTAATATTATTTAGTCATGTAATTAATACTTAGTACTTATTAATCATACTTATTTTAACATGACTTAGTACTTTTAGATTATGTTTATTTTTATTATAACTTATTAATTAGTAATATTATCTTATGCGATTTGTTGAGTATCTTAATATAATTATGACTCATCTCACATTATTTTGTGTTATTTTATTAGGTAACATCTTATATAGTTTTATCCTACTAGGACCTATGAAATATTAGAGCACAAATTATAAATTTTATGCTATGAAGATTTTGTTAGAAAAAAAAACGAAAAAGCCGAGAAAATTGAAAAACCCGAAAAAAGTCAGTGATTGAAAAACCCGATTTTTGTTGGTTTGGTTTGGTTTATAAATTTAAAAATCCGGGACAATTGGTTTGGTTTGGTAACTGAAAAATCTGAACCAGCCCGGCCTATGTAAACCCTTAACCAAAAAGCTTATTTGCATGTTTTGGTTAAGATTCATAAAGGGTAAAAATTATCTACACCCCAACTTTATTTAAAATTAAATTCTCCTCCATCTTTAATATCAAGATACTTTTTCCTTTTTTAATCTAAGTTACGGACTTGTCTATAAAACAAATAAATATTATATCCAAAACGAAAATGAGTATTAGTTCAATCATGATTTTTTCATGTGATAATGTGATTCAATCAAGTGAAACAATCCTAGTTCTTAACCAACTGGGAAATAGGCAAAATTGTTTTACACTGTAGCCGTCCATCTGTAAAATATACATATATTATACATAATTAGTATATAAGATATGTATATTGACTAGCCGCTGTAATTATATTTGGTCGAGCAGCCAAATGTGTTAAAACCTTTTTCCTTTTATGCAGGGTACCAGGGGTTATCAAGACAACAATAACAATAACATACCCATTATAATCCCACAAGTCTAGGGAGGGTAATGTGTACGCAAACCTTACCCCTAACCCTATCCCTACCTGGCAAGGTAAAGAGACTGTTTCCGATAACATGGGTTATCAAGAACATGGGTTATCAAGAACATGGGTTATCAAGAAAGAGGGAGAAATAAGACTTCATCAGTTTAATATTTTATTTGTATTTCTGCTTACGCTATTCACAAACAAGATCCATTCTGATAATTCACAAAGTTTTTAACAGACCTCACTCGTTTTCAAGATTGAAGGACACAAGCAAGAAGCTTTCAAAAGCAACATATATTATTGTCCTGAGTTGCTTGGAGGCTTTTCCTTTGGATGTTTGGAGCCATAGTGATCCACAAGTTGATTTTGATTTGCTAGCTGCGCCTGAAAATTAAAAAAGAAAATAGTTAAGACAAAACTGCACAAAAATGAAATTCTAAAACCACTACTGGGGACCTCATCGCTAAAACATAAGAACAACACACGATCTCAATGTGCCTTGAGAAATGCTGCTACAGTTTAGTTTCCAACCTCAGTAAGAAAGTAAGTACACATTTGATGATCATGTAACACAGAACTAGTAATACTAACAAAGTACTGTGTTAGTATAAACCCGTGTTGTCTAATTAAGGCTGTATTGTGGTCCGGGTTCGGGCCAAACGGGCCCGGCCAAATGGGCCTGGGCTTCAGGCAGGCCGGGCTGAGGCGGTCCCAGCCAAACGGTCCCAATGTGTGGAACCGGCCCACGGTGGTCCTAAGCCCACATGGTCCCGGGCTAAATGGGGCGGGCCTAACAGGCTTTTTTCGTTCAGAGCTATTTTTTTTATTTTTTTTATCTAAGGCACTTTCTTATAAACTATATATATATATACTAGTATAAATTGCTTATATATAGCTATATAAATATATATAGCTATATAAATATATATAGTATGTATTGCCTTATATATATGTATGTATGTATGTGTATATGTGTATATATATATATATATATATATATATAGTTTATATGTATTAGAGATATATATAGTGCCTTATATATATGTGTATGTATATACATATTCAAGGGAATGTCTTATATATTTTACTATTACGACATTAACAAAGAATGGCAATATCTTTTTTAGTCTTCCTCCCCCCAATGGAATGAGCACAACAAGGTACTAATACGACCATTAAAAGGAAAAAAAAAACTAAGGAAGATGATAAATACATCTAAGAGCCATTTTAACCTTTTCAATTTCTACATTTAAAACTTTCATACCAGCACCGACGATTAAATAGTAAATATGACAAATACATCTAACATGAAAAATATTACTAAATGCAGGATTTAGTGTAGTTGTAAGCAAGCCTATAGCGTTAGTGTTACTAGAAGCATTATCCATTGAAACCGACATAATTTTATCTCTAATGCAAAAATATCTACAAATATCTGCAACTGTGTTAACAATAAACTTACCTGTGTGGCGTGAATTAATTATTTTATAAGCAATAATGTGCTTTTGCATTATCCATTCCTCATCTATCCAATGACTTGTAACAGTTAGATAATCACAGTCATTACCACTTCTACCAATATCAGTAGTAATAGCAATGCGACAATCTATATGAGTAAATAAATAGCGCAAATATTGTTCATATTCATGTTTATATTTATAAATATCGCTCTTTACGGTTGCGCGAGGCCATCCTTTATAAGTAGGATTAAAAACTCTTCTAATATAATGCACAAAATGAGGGTTAGAAGGAAAACTATAGGGTAAGCACATAACAGTAACCATTTTTGCCAATTCTTCACGATCTTTATTTGGATCATAATATAAAATGTCACCGATAACAGTGTTAACTCCCGGTTGAACTAGATTTGAACCTGTACTAGGGTTAACCGTAGTATCTACACGTGTCCCCTCTTGCGCAGCTTTCATTTGTAAAAATCTAGCTTTATCTCTAGGGTGTTTCAATATGTGTTTAGTCAAACTACCTGGACCGCTACGGTCTCCAGTAAATTTATGAACTAGTTGAGACCCACAAGTTTTACACTTAGCCTTATTTTGTTCTCTTAGTTAAGTAAAAAAGTGTCAAACAAGAGATGTTTCAGGCCGTTTAGCAGGTTGTTTATTAAAAGTAGGGGTTAATACAGGAGGGTCAGGCGGGGCATCATTTGGGTTATTAACAGGACTAGTAGGTGTATCATCTAAATCCGGTTGTGTTTCATCTAAATCATCATTTTCCTCATTATTTTCAAAGATAGTTTCATTAGGATAAAGAGCACTCATAACTTCTTCATTTAATTGTTGACCTGGTGCAACATCATGGCAAAATTGACTATCGGAAAATTGAAAACAAGGGTTATCACTATCAAGAATAATAGGTGGAGGACGGGTAACAGGTCTGGGTCGGGGAGCCGGGGGAAGAGTAGTAGCTTGGCTACTAGATTCACCAATTTTAGTTTTTCCCTTACACTTACCACCAAAAAAAAAAATTCAAAGAAAATGTCATATTAATTATAATTATACTAAATAAAACTAACAAAACTATAATATTAAAACTTAAGAGTTGGAACGAGTTTACCGAATTGACGAACAACCTTGAAAATTGAATATCGTTGAAGACTTAAAGACTTGAATACTTCAATTCACCAACTTCACAATTTTTCACGAAATTGCAATAATAAAGTAAGCAATTATAGAAGAAAATTAGAGAGAGATTGATGAATTTGTGAGTAAAAATGAAAGAATGGGGGTATTTATAGTTGAGAATTGGGACAAAGTGTAATTATAAAAAGTTTAGGGTTAAAACAAAGTTTGGGGCCCAAATGGCTATTTTTTAAAGTGCCAAATGGTTGAATTTTGATGGCCAACGACTAGATTTTAAAAATCTGACCGTTGGGGCCCGTTTGGCCCATTGGGCCCGGATGAACCGGCCCAGGCCCGCTTGCCGGTCCCGGACTTAACGGTCCCGGGCTCACGGGCTATTTGGGTTGGACCGGCCCGCTACGGGCTTATGCACCACTAGAGACCGACCTCGTTTGAACCGGCCCGTTTGGCCCTGGGCCGGTCCCGGACCACAATACAGCCTTATGTCTAATTGTTTATGGAAGAAATGGCGCATAATACGAATATCAATTTTTCTTCAAAACCTTTCTCAGTCTAGGTATAATGGAATTTTCAAGGTTGAACCTAATAAAACATGTAAAAAGGTAAATATTTGGTCAAGTTACCCGGGAGCTCCAATTTTCCAGAGTAACGTTTACCTTTGTAAGCTTCTTGAGCCACTGCTGAGATCAGGTTTTTCTAGTAAAGTATATTAGACATAACTTAGCAGTGGGGTCTGGGGAAGGTAGTGTGTACGCAGCCTTCCTTGAAATTACTTGAAACTCAAATCTCTCTGTGGCCACTCCTCTCAAAGAGAACCAATCACTGTGAAGACACGTTAATCTTTTAAAGATAAACAGCTTGTAGGAAAGCAAGCAGAGTATGTTGTTACTGGGTGATAGCAGTTAGATTCAACAGTTTCTTACCGACAGTGGCGGAGCCACCTTAGACTACGGGTGTCACCGCTTCGCCGGAAAGTTATAGTGTAGCTAGGTCAAAATTTATTTTAATGTATATATACAATATGTTGAATCACCTTAAAACTTCTTCAGGTTTACTTTTTTATATTCTAACACCTTTTGGCGAAGTTCTTGGCTCTGTCTAATCCAACTTCCTCTTAATATTAAAAGAGGCATCCTACCCTGATTAAAAAAAAAGATTCTATTTCCTAGCAGAAAAGAAAATCCAAGAGAGGAGGAAGACAATTTAAGATAAGGCATTAATCTGATCTTCTCCTTGTTTCGTTGTTCTTCCGGTGAAAAAGTAGACTGTCTAAAATTTTGTAGCTCTCTGGAACTCACAGAGGACCAAGGCAAGTCCACTCTCAATTCAGCAGAAGCTTGGGATCTTTCTTTCCTAAAGCATTTCCCTTGAAGCTGGGTCTTTCTTCTCTTCTTTAAATCCTGGAGATGGACTTCTTTTTCCTGACTCAATTCACAGTTTAATCACACTAAGCCACAGCGCAACCAGGGTAAGAAAGATAGGAGACCAATATCACCAACTTAACTAGCAGTCTAGGATCTTTGAATAAACAGAGATGCTCTTCCTGCAGCCCAAGAGCGTATTCATTCAAAGAGCTGGCAATGACTTTCGTCCCACCAAGGCCGCACCTCAAAAAAAATGATAACGGAAGGGTGCACATTCCAATTTTTTTGAGTAGAATGTCAACTTAGCATATTCCAACTTTTGATAAGTTAGCATGTTCCAACTTGCCACTATTAATTTTTCTGTTGAATACGAAATGGTATGAAACAAGATCAATTAGAACAGGTAAATACCCAGGTATACTTTAGCTAAGGCTACATTTTCTTTTGTGGCACATCTCAGTCAAAAGTTAGTAAGTTACTAATCTCAAAGTATGTCTTTTTTTATAAGCATGGAGTCCATGCCAGCTTGAGCGCACTTCGACTAATTCCACGGGATACATGTCACCCCCCACCAGCAATAGGTACTAGGTAATTCTATCTGTCCACCAAGACTTGAACAAATGGGAAGAAATCACCTAGTGTTTTTGCCTCCGGCGGATTTGAACCTTAAACAAATGGGAAGAAATCACCTAGTGTTTTTGCCTCCGGTGGGATTTGAATCCGAGACCTCATGGTTCTCAACCTACTTCATTGACCACCCTTGAGTGCTCTCAAAGTATGTTTTGTAGGTTATAGTTTATTTCGTTTCATCTCAAGCAAGATTATGGATATTAATTTCAATTCATCAGCCACCACTAGACACATTTCTAGTGGTTTCATTTGTTTTGTTGATGACATTTTATTTTTGGTCAAGTATATGTTGATGACTTATCAATGACTTAGTGGAAAATCCGAAAGATACATTAAAACCTAAAATATAGATTAACAAAAATACTCGTAACATCATAAATACGAACACATACTCCTGATGCTTCTGAGAGAACACATGAACCTAAATTCAGCTAACCCTCACATTTGCAATATCCTTCCAGGCTTCTAGATGACATCTGCATTAACTTTAACATGTGATTCCTAAAACTACAGACAAGAAGAAAGACGAATAACGTCAAGTTGACAACACCCACGCCCAGCTATTAACAAAACACTGCAAAAGGCAAAACATGAAACATCTTTAGATAATTATGCATAACAAAAGCGAACTCGGGTGTCCCCAAGGGACGGTTGAATGATTGGGGCTTAGTGGAAAACCCTACAAATACCATGTTTGAATCCCACTACAACACTCACCTCAAATCCATCTATCCCAACCTTGGTGGGCAGTTTACCTGGCACTTGTGCTAAGTAACAGGTTGGTTCGAAA